CCCTCTCTCTTTCTCTCGCACCACACATGCATGCATGAACACAGCCACACATGTGGAGGGCATACTGCGTTTCTCAAATTGCTGGTATGCGTCTCAGTGGACACTGAAAGAACACTGGAGGGCCTATGTGCGCTCCATTGTTTTGGGCCACATTGTGCTTCACTATGTGGTCGAAGAAAGTGCAGGACTGTAAGACCTTTCGTGGTGTAGGTCAGGGGACCTGCCGGCCCCCATGTTATCTTTTCTGGCTATGGCCACATTGCCTTCTTGAGCACGGCCAAAAGAAACTGCAGGGTCACTAGTCCCTACATGGCAGTCTGTCGTGGAGAGCCTATCAGCCCTCTAATCTTTTTTGGGGGGTGCATGGCTGCAAAATATCCATCCATGAGACTCAGGCTGGTTTTTCTTTTCAGTCTGGTCTGGAAAGTGCCCGACTGACCCAGGCCCTACTGCCACTTGGACGCCTTTTGGGTCATCTGGCTGACGGTGTGAAAGAGCATAAATTGCCACCTGATGACTCTGGGGGTGATCAGCCGTAGCGCCCAGTAATACTGAAGCGACTAATAGTGATCGCCTGTGGCAATTTTGTATTATATGTAGGAGGGTTATTGACTTATTAATAGTTATTATCTGTGCATGTGTGTTCCCCTGGGGAAGGATCAGGGTCTCATTCAACCTAGGCTATCCGAGGCTCATGAGAGAATTCATGGTGTTTCAGTCGTTCATGTCTGTGCATTTTATTGAATTTATTCCCGATTCAAATTTATTCAATAGAAAATGCAGACTATCATTTCGATTCATTTGCCATGGATTATGCATCTGGGCATCGGGCATGCAGTTCATTCCTTTTTTTTTCCCATTCTGATGGGGCGAGTCTCTGGATATCCGAATTCCGTCCAGTTTGAAACAGTTTTCACCTTTGGCAGTAGCCGATGCAGATCCCAGGGGTCGATCCCTTGACCTCAGCTTACCTGTGTACAGTATCTGAACAGTTCCCTGGAGTTGAACCCGTGACCTGCACGATAGCCAGTGGTAAGTAGGTCACCGTAGGTTGTAGGCCTGTCTCTTATACACATCTAGATGTGTATAAGAGACAGGTGCAAGCTAGTGAAAAAGAACTTAGTTAAAAATT